TAAGAATACTAAATTTATTTCTATATTCGGTACCTATAAAATTGTTTATTAGGTTTTTAGTTTGCGATGTTTATGGTAAATAATTTTCATGTTCATTGCCTCTGATTTCACATGAGGACAGAGATGAGGATATATATGGAAAAGTAACCACAAGAGGAATTGTAACATCGTTTAAAAAATGTTGGGAATTTTATTGTTTCCCCATCGAAAAGTAGAAAATGCCAATGCAGATGAAGATGTATTGTAATCAGGGTTCGGAAGTAGTTAATTAAGACGTAATTTACCTGATTAACTACGTGTAGTTTTTCTTCATAAACTACATCTTTTCCCGTTCATTAACTACATGAAAACTACGTTAATAAGCTATGTATTGATATTATGAATAATTTTCCTTTGTATGAGGTGTAATAGAGATAATATGATGTAAATATTATATTTAAAACCATATTTCTTCTGTTTTTCTTAAATACATTATGTGTTTTTAAAGCTTCAACTTATTAAAACCTCACCTCAAACCTTTGATATTTGAAAGTTACATACATAAGTTACATAAACTACACCCTCTACATAAACTACATTAACTACATGTAATTTATTGTTTCCCATCGAAAAGTAGAAAAATGCCAATGCAGATGAATGTATTGTAATTGTGATAGAAGTAATTCCAAGGGTGAAGTTTATTATAATTAGTGGAAGTAATTCCAAGGGTGAAGTTTATTATAATTAGTTACCTGTGCTTCTTTTTATATGTAGATGTTTCAGGTTTTGAGAATAAATCGGTTGAACGAAACCCAAAATTTAGAGGAAGTATTTGCATACCCAGAATATGCCCATCAAGGATTATATAGCTCAAATTTCCTTTAATGGTAGGCAATTATTCAATGCAAATTAACTTTTAAGTGACTGAAATATTAAATAGTTTACAATATGGTATATCATTAAAATATATTACTTTTAGGGTACAATTAGGGGCCCGATACATTTCAAAAGTAGAATATTATTTTATATTAAATGAGGTATTGTACCAACAATCAATTTATATTAATACCGGAGATTAAAAAATAACAGAATAAATAGTTCTTTTTTTTATACTACAAAAATAAACTATAGAATACAACAGTATTTAAAAATAAATAAAAAGTTATGTCCCGGCCGAGATTCGAACTCCGGTCTCTCGCTTCCTAGCCCGACTCCTACGCACTGCTCCACAGTAACTTGCTTAGCGATAATTCAATGACGGTATATAAACAAAAAAACAGGTTTATAACAATATCTTGACGATTTGAACTGGCGCGCGGAGCGTGCTGACCAATAGCGCCTGTTATCACCTGTGACGTAGCGACCAACCTGCGCAATATCATACCTTGTATTCTTTGTACCATGAAGCAGACCTGCCAGACGAGGTAAAACTCTCGGTCGTACCACTTGCTTGCGAAAGACAAAAACGATACTTAAATTTCGCGTCCATTACAATTAAGTTTTGGTAAACATTATCTGTGTCAGTTAAAGTTAATATATATTATAGATTTGGTAAGTTATAGTTTTAAACCTATTCATCTAATACAGTGATTCCCAAAGTGGTCCAGGTGGACCCCCAGGGGTCCACGGGAGACTTGCTGGGGGTCTACGTAGGCGTGAACAAAAAATGGGGGTCCATAAGATGTTAATGGGGGTCCACGAAAATTTATCTGCTTTTGATAGTAAAGAGCAAAAATGTAAGCATAGTTTTTATAAGGGCCTACCTACATTGTTTTAAGTACCTATCTAAGCAGATAATATTTTAATAAGGCAAGCGACTGTTACTTGTCCAAACTTGCGTATTCGATATTACGTACAATTTCGTGTACAGACTTGCAAAGCGCTATCCGCCCGACAATGCTTAATGCTTGTTCAGACATGAACTTGATCACCACTATAAATACTTGATGCCAAAGGCAAACGCATTCATTTGTTTCCGGAATTTCGAAAAAAAGGCGGAATTTGGAAAAAAAGTTGTGAGAAAATTTATATCTGTGTTTGCTAGTGCCGGAGAAAAGTAAGTAACCTACCTTTTTTTGTTATAGTACTTAAGTATTTTGTTTACGTGTACTAGTCGGTTGATCACAACGGCCTGTATAGATAGGTAACTTAGTAACTTACAGATATTTTAATTGTCCTTTTTTCGATTTGAAGACAAACACAGCACGTTTTATTCAATTGTTTTTTTCACGAGAGAAACACTGCCTCTCTAAAAGGCCGAATAAGCAATATTGCAGAGCAATTAATTTTGTAATTTTTCTTGCAAATAACTACTAATTTTATAAAACAGTAATTTCATAATCATTTTAAATTGGTTTTGAAGTAACTATTTTATCAAAACTATTCCTTTTTCGGAAAGAGCGAGCGGTGCGCGGGCGACGGGAAAAGGGCGGGGCTTGGACTTCGATGCCAGTTTGTCACGTTTTAACAATGAAGCCGCAGACAAAAAATACGCAAATACACGGAGCGCGTGAACTCATTGATTTAATAAAATGTTAGTTATCGTTTTTATGGACAATTTTGGGATTTCGACTTTTATTTTTTCCTACACAAATATGATCAGTATTCGATACTGAGTACACCAATTTTATTTATACTATTAAAAATTAGTGGTAAATTATGTACTTTAAAATTGATACCGTTTTGTGAAAACGTCTGTATTTGTCTCAGCGGTTTATTAGTTGGTCCCTTTACAAGCCGTAATTCTATTTCCGCGTGCTGACAAAGGCTGCGGTGTGATACCTATATTCAGAAAAAAACTTGGTTACTAAAACATTTTTTTTACAGGTAAGGTAACTGACACGAAACATGGCTACAGCAAAGAAAAAATGTCGACAATATAGTATCGATTATTTGAAATATGGTTTTGTTCCATCAGAGGCAGACAAACAATTGCCCATGTGCCTATTATGCAACAAAGTTTTGAGCAATGACTCTATGAAACCATCAAAGCTCGAAGATCATCTAAAAAGGTGTCATACTGATAAAATAGGTAAAGATTTAAAATATTTTCAAACATTGAAAGAAAAATATGGAAAGAGACCCACCATGCACAGTATGTTCGCTTCAACATCTCAAAGTAACGATGATGGCTTGCGGGCATCTTACAATATCTCATTACTTATAGCAAAATCTGGAAAACCGCACACTATCGGAGAACAATTAATTTTACCCGCTGTTGAAGAGGTTTTAAAAACTGTTTTGCACAAATCTCCATTTGACGTACTAAAAAGAATTCCATTAAGTAACAATACTGTACAAAGACGCATTGATGAAATGAGCTCTGATATCGAAAGCTTTTTGTGCAATCATCTGCAAAAAACTCATTTTTCTATACAACTGGACGAGTCAACGTTACCCAGTAATGAAGCATTACTATTGGCATATGTCCGATTTATTGTTGAGGAAGAAATTCACGAAGAATTGCTATTTGCCAGAACTTTGGAGACTGACACTAAAGGCGAATCAATATTTAATGTCCTGAGTAATTTTTTTACGGAAAAATCGATCCCATTTACAAACATTATTTCAGTGGCAACAGACGGAGCTCCTGCAATGGTCGGGCGATATCGTGGGTTTATAAGTCATCTCAAAAGAATTATACCAGGACTTACAGCTATTCATTGCGTAATCCACCGACAACATCTTGTGGCAAAACATTTAAGTGACAGGTTGAACCAATCTCTTCATTTTGTAATAAAAGCTGTCAACAAAATCAGAAGCAATGCATTGAATACGCGTTTATTTGCTCAATTGTGCGACGAAAATGATGAAGACTTCCAACGACTGCTCTTACATACTGAAGTACGCTGGTTGTCGAAAGGTGCATGCTTAACGAGATTTTACTCTGTTTTCGATTCCATATTAGAGTTCTTAGAAAGTAGAGATCCAGATTTAAAAGAAAACTTGATCAAATTCAAAGCAGACATTGCGTATTTGACAGATTTGTTTAAAAAATTTAATGATATTAACTTGCAGTTACAAGGGGACAGCCTGAATTTAATAAAAACAAAGGGGATAATTTCGGCTTTTCTTGGGAAATTGAAATTTATGAAGCAAAACATTAGTCGGCGCGAATTCTCTCAATTTCCAAACTTGTCGCAGGTAGAATGTATTGATGAGGATATCCATACCTACAGTCAACATTTAAGTGCTCTGCATGATGACTTCAAAACCAGGTTTGAAGATATACTGACGATGGATATACCACCATGGATCATAAATCCATTTGATGAAACGGAAGTGGCCAATGTTGTATTACAAGAGGAGCTGCTCGAGCTAAGCACTAATGAGGAGCTGAAGGTGAAATTTAGAAAAGGCTACCCAACATTTTGGCTGCAAGCAGAAATACCCGAAAAATATCCTGGACTGTGGGAAATCGCAAGGAAATTTTTAATAGCTTTTCCCTCGTCATACCTTGTCGAAAGGAGTTTTAGTGCCGTTACAAACCTCTTAACAAAAAAAAGGAGCAAATTAAACATCACAGAGCGGGGGGATTTGCGGTTATTGCTCACAAAAATAAAGCCAAACATTGATCGTTTGCTGACACTCCATCAGATACATCCTTCCCATTAATTAAAATTATGACCTGAACCTATATTACCTTAATATTTTTTCTTGTAATTCTATTCTTTTAATAAATAAAGTGATATAAAATGTACCATTTTTCGTTTTTATTTTACATATCGGAATATAGGGACAGAACTCAGAAGTGACACAATTTTTATTTTTTGGCGACTTTAAGAATGTGGTAGAAATGTAGCAGCAGGGGGTCCACCGAAACCAGTAAAATTTTGAAAGTGGTCCACGAGAAAAATAAGTTTGGGAACTACTGATCTAATAGAATTAAGACTTTTTTATTCAAAAACTTGTCCAGTTTTTAGTTATATTTTACACTTAAAATAAAAATAACATTCTTTAAATTTAACTCGTTATAAACATTATACAATATAAACAAAATAGTAACAACAGTAAAAACACAGAAAAAACACAACCAACAACTAAACAGTAACTACAATAAAATTAAAATAGACAAAAAATACTAACACACAGATAAACCGCAAAACAGACAACCAAAACCGCTAAAAACTCGCTGTCTAAATTTAATTCACACATAAATAGTAAAAAAAATACAACCAACAACAGTAAAATTAAAATAGAAAAACTACAATAACAAACACATAAACCACAAAACAGACCACCAAAAACGCTCTACACAACAACAATAAAATTAAAATAGACAAAAATACTAATAAACAGAAAGGGATAAACCGCAAAACAGACAACCAAAAACGCTAAAAAAATATTCTAGATGTAAACAATATTTTAAAGAATTAGAAGTCAAAATTCTATGTATACTAGACAACGAACTCACAAAGCATACCTGCATTAAAATCAATATGGAACTTTTTGGTTATTACTATAATCCTACTACTAATAACCATGATGTCAAATCATTCAACACATCTTTTAAAGTAGTTTGTAAAAGCACCGAAATGAAAGATTTGGTAGAAGAATTTTTAATGATTATTGACAACAAGGCTGACGTGTTCGCTGAAAAAGATTCCGGTAAGAGATTTTTAATATAAAAATATAAATACTTAATTTTATTTTTTGTTTCAGGATGGATCTTACTTAATTTTCTTTACTTGGAGATTAATATTAATAAATTCAACCCAATGAGAGCATCATCGTTTGTTGAACTTCCTTCTGAGATAGTACGACGTCAAGCTATAGTCAACATCAGAAACAACGATGACTGCTGCTTTGCTTGGTCTATAGTAGCAGCTCTTTATCCTCCAACAGGTGTCGACTTTGTTACATCATCGTATCCACACTATTCAACAGTTTTGAACACTGCAGGTATTGACTTTCCAATGTCATTAAAAGACATTAAAAAATTTGAAATTCAAAATAATATATCGATTAATGTATACGGTTTAGAAAAATATTTTATTAAATTTCTAATAGTGAAGAATATGAAGTAATAGGGCCTTTACATTTTTCAAGTGGTAGAAAAAATGAATCGGTCATTTCAGAAACCACATGAGTCAAAAATTACAGTTTTGAGATATTCATGACTCATGTGGTTTCTGAAGGAATCCGGTATTTTTATAGGCTGCAGTACATTAAGTTAAGCCAAGACTGGTGTTGTTTCTGCACGCAATGGTGCGTTTGTGTATAAAAAGAAGATTATTGTGGAAATATCAATTTCAGAAAAAAATGACTCATGTTGTTTCTGAAATGACCGATTCAAATGTACACGTTAATTTATTATTGATAAGTGATGATGATGGAAATCTTCATTATTGCTACATTTCCGATCTTTCAATATTAGTTTCTAAGCAACTGGGCAGCTTACATGGAGAAATGCTATTTTTATTGGTTGCTGTGCACGAGAACAAAATTACAAACCATATGGACGTGCGTTTGTGATAATATTAGGGCCGTTTACCTTCTAAAAATTACTATGAAGGATAAGTTTGGAAATGTAGCATATGAAAATATATTTGAAATATGTAAATTATCAAAATGATGGAACCCTTTTTAATTTGTACGTTTTGAATGCATTTTGAAACCTTTAAATAATAATGACAAATGGCGGGAGCTAAATAGTTCATATACTGTAAAAAAAATTGAACACGTTCCTTCTATTTTGAAATACATGGAAATGTTTCCAGTGATACATATTCCAAATTTGAAAGTTATAGAGGTTTGAATAGTGTCCAAGTTTTTATAGATTCTTTGGAAAAAGATGTGTTAAACTTATACCCACATATTTTTTAAAAAATTTAAAAAAATGAATACTTTAACGGAATTAGAAAAAATTAGACACAACTATGCCACAGATTGTCATATTTGCGACAAACAACTTTTAGATGATAAAGTTGCTGATCATTGTCACATTACTGGTAACTATAGAGGACCAGCTCATTCTTTATGGAACTTAAACTATAAAATTCTAATTATATTCCAGTTATAACACACAACTTACGTAATTACAGGCTTATATACACTTATTTATAACAAATACATGTTCAAATAAAGAACAATTTTTTTTTTTTTTTAGATGACTACCAAAGGGAAAAATATTTCTTTGAAAAATAAATCCATGTAAGACAATTATTTTGATAAGCATACTAAAAGTATTAAACAAAAATCTATCCATGGGTTTATTGATTCTTTTCAATTTCTATCCTTTTCTTTATCAAAACTTTCAAATACCCTAAAAGATGAACAATGTGTAGAAGTAGAAGATTTTTTGATGATGATGAAAAATTTAGTCTTATTCGTCAGAAAGGTGTATTTCAATATGGTTATATATTGATAGTTTTGAAAAACTAGATGAACAGTTTTTACCAGAAAAAGAAAATTTATAACAGTTTAACAGACCAACATATTTCTGACCAAGAATATCAAAGAGCTCTTAAAGTTTGGAAATTATTTGAGTGTAAATCCATAGGACAATATTCAGATATTTATTTGATGTCTGACACAATACTTTTAGCTGATATTTTCGAAAATTTTCGAAAAACATGTTTATCCACATATAAACTAGACCCTGCACACTTTTATACATTTCCCGGCTTATCATGAGAGGCTTGTTTACGTTATACAGGTATAGAATTGGAATTATTAACTGATCCGGATACATTGTTGCATTTTCAAAAATAGCGTTCATGGTGGGGTTAGTTCTTGTATAACAAGAAAATCTGAAGCAAATAATCCTTTTCTTTCAAGCTACGATGCATCAAAACTGCATAAATACATAATGTACTATGATTAAACAAATTTGCCACAAGGTTTGCAATGTCCGAATATCTGCCAACGGGTGATTTTTTATGGTTAACAGAAAAGAAATAGAAAATTTAGATATTTTTTTTATTTTAGATACGTCAATTTTACCTGCTTCAGTAGCGTTTTGGTAAGTTGTTTATTTAGAATATCCTGAAAATCTCCATGACCGTCACAATGATTTCCTTTTTTGTACTGAGAACTATAAACCACCCAATTCAAATTCCACAAGAGTGGCTACCTAATTTAAATAGCAAATCCAAATATGTTATTCATTACCAGTTATTACAACAATGTCTACAAAATGGACTTAAGTTAACTAAAATACATAGAGTTTTACAATTTTCGCAATCTGCTTGGCTAAATTTTTTTTATAGATTTAAATACAACATTACGTAATGAGTCTAGAAATGAATTTGACCGTCACACGTTTAAATTAGCAAATAACAATTATATACGGAAGAAACAATGGAAAATGTGGATAGGAGAGTTGGTGTAAGACTTGTTACAGAATGGGAAAAAAAATAAACAAAAGAAGATGGTGCTGAAAATTTGATTGCAAAACCATATTTCAAAGATTTGACTATTTTCTCAGAAGAAAATTTGTTGGCTATTCAAATCACAAAAAGTATCAATCACTTATAATAAACCAATATACGTTGGATTTTGCGTTTTAGATATAGCTAAAACTGTTATGTGCAATTTATTTTACAACTTTTAAAACCTCTATATAAAGAAAATGTTTCTCTTCTGTATACAGACACTGATTCTTTTATTCTTGAAATCGAAACAAACAATATTTATTGTGATATGCAAAAGAATATTCATAAATTTTGATACATCCAATTATTTACCTAAACAATATGCATAATATGCCAATAACACAATCAGTTGTTGGTAAATTTAAAGATGAATATGCTGGTGAATCTATTACAACATTCTACGGTACGGGAGCAAAATCCTATTGCATAAAAACTGAAAATAGTCTCTTAAAAAAAAGCTAAGGTATTAAGAAACCACTGTTAAAAAGTGGTTAGCTTTATCCAATACAAAGATGTTGTAGAAAATAACTCTAAAAAATTTTCCTCTATGTATGTGTTTCGTTCTCGACTACATACAATTTTTACCGAGTTGGTAAATAAAATCGCGCTAAGTTTAGAAGATACGAAGCGATATAAAATTCCACATGATTATAAAACACTCGCTTTGGGTCACCAGGATATTCCATTTTACCAGTGGAGCGCTGATCATCCCGATTTAGATGTATTTTTTTAATTAATATTATATCAAACATATTATTGTATTATATTAGTAGTTTTAATCACATATTTTGTTTTAATAAATTATTATATATATTTTTTATGTATATAAAAATGTATATACATGTAATTAAGATTATATAGTTGTAAATTTTAGTAATCAATTATTTTAGTCCACCACATATTTTATATTTCACTTTTTTTTTTTTTTTTTTTTTTTTTTTTTTTAACATTTTTTTTTGATAATAATTATAGTAAATTAGGGTATAGTACTTATAGTAAAATTCTTTTTAAATTATTTTATTTTCTATTGATCGTTCATAAGATGTGTTTGGAAAGCTTTGATAAAGATATCGATAATGTTGCTTATAAAACATATGATACAAGGCTTTCTACCTTTAAAAATGGAAAGGTAGATTAAAACCTGAGATATTAGCTGGAGCAGGATTTTACTCAATTTTGTTTAGTGATGTTTGCAAATGCTACTATTGTGGAGTTGAAATTTATGATTGGTTGTATGATGATTGTCCTGTCGAAGAGCATTATAAATTTGCACCAACATGTAACTTGAATGAGTGCTTAAGACTAAACAAAAATATTAATAAGCAACTTTTGCTTGTTTAGAAGTAAAAAAGTGGAAATAAAAAATCCCAGCGATTGTTTTATCCTTGATTATAGATGATATAGATAGACAATGATCGGATGCTTTGGGGCTCTGTTCACCAGGTGGCGAGGGAGGCTCCTCAAGTTTGTGTCAGGGGGGTGACAGTGGTATAGGAAAATTGGAAACAGTCATTCTTGTCATTTGTGTCATTCTCCTCATGACAAATATGGCCGTCGCTGGGAAGGTTTAGACATGGGTTAGACAAGGATATGTTTGTTTCTCTCTAAAATTCACGGAAGCTCCCCTCATAAAATAATTAACGCGTCCTCTTTCGTTTTAGCGCCAGAAATAGTTTACGGCACCATATTTTTCCAAGGTATTTTTGTCTGTTTTGCCATAATTCTAGTGTTTTGGAAAGTGCTTTATAATTTGGAATGGAACCGATTGACAGTTGCATTCTTTTTTCAATCATTTCAATTCATGAAGTAACTCCGGATTTTCGATTGAGAGAGAGAAAACTTCTGTCACTGTTTCTGGAGGTTTTTACCTTAGACAATAGGCATTACATACAGGACAGTCACTTAATATTGAAAAAAAAAACGGCTGGAACTACTCTAAGAAGCGTCTTAACGAAAAATAGGACAACGGACATCAAAACATGAGAAAGAGTGCATATACCAAGTTCCTTGTGAATGGGGAGAGTCGTATATTGGAGAGACTAATCATTCTTTATCTTGGTAGTTGCTTTACCGAAAAGGAAATGGTAAATTAGGACTACCAGACATAGAAAACGTAAATATAACATCAATTCGTGTTTTTTTTAGATATAAAAATTGACTTAACTACTTAGTGATGAACCGAAGGAAAAAAATAAGGTTATCGACGACTAAATTTGAAAAAGCAAATCTATTCCCGCGACTATAACGATAATCGAATAGAAAATCTGTGTTAATTCGAACCAATTAAAATGGCGAGAACTGGGCGCCTGAAAAAGACGTTTCCCGATTAAATCGTTAGATATCCTCAGGCTTTTGTCCTTCCCCCCTCTCAAACTTTGCCCTCCGACGTTTTCTCGATTAAAAAATATTAATGAGAATTCCATCAGCGAGTAACTTAAATGAAGCGAGTGTCTGAGAATACGATCGAAAAAATTAAATGAAAGATTTTTTACTTGTTCGGTGATGAGTTAAGATGGCTTTATCTTAATCCTCTAATTACGAAGCTTCATCTTTCATCCAAAAACGCATTTTTTTTTGTATTTTTTAAGACCAGTTTGTTTTTTATGAGAATATAATCTCCTTCAGACTGATATTGTTTTTAATTTTGAAAA